ATTCTGAGGAACAAGCCACAGCCAGGCATGATCTCAGGCTTATTTTCTTGTCAGTGTGGGAGGGAGGAGGAGGAATGAAGCACTTGGTCTGCGCTGTGTGTGGGGGGATAAGATGGTATTCAGAAGCTGGGATAATAATTTTAAATGAGGATCTGCAATGAGAAATCCCACCACAAAGAGCATGTGAAGAGGGCAAAAAGTTAACAATAACTGAGGAGCTGAGCAAGCGACAAGAGCTTGGGTTGGAATGGAAGGAACAGTGGGTTGGTTTGTTTGCTTTGGTGTGTGTGTGTTTGGCTTTTTGGGGGTAGAGGTGATGGTATTCCTTTAAGTAGGTAGGGATTTCGTGGCTACTGTTCATATCCAACACGTGTGTGTATAATTTATTTATTTGTATTTTGCTGTATTTAGCAGCTTCTGGGTTTTACATGATACTTTGCTTGGGAAGGGATTGTATTTCATGATTAAAAGGGCACGTTACCTTAGATCTTCTGAAAAATGGCCAATGTTTTTTTTGCTACTACATGAGTAAAAATATTTTTCATAGAAAATGTATTCCTCTGACTTCCTGAGTGGTAATGTAATAAGGACAGGAAAGACAAAGAACTGTCGACAAAAGTCATTCGATGACATTTGAGATAAATTGGTAAAACTTAGACTGGGTTCATAATCAGGAGGATTTCAACACCTACAATTTACAGCAGCTTTTTAATTTTACTGAAAGCTAACTTAGTGCCATTCTGGCCTAGTTTTAGTTGTCAGTAAAGTCACTCTTTCCAGTTGTCTTCATATTTCTTCAGTAGCCTTTGATCTGTAAGGATCTGTCCCAGCAGCTGTGGCTGTCAGCTTCAATGTTTCTGGTGACTTTGCTGCTGCAGACTCTAACCAGGAAAACAGTGAAAACCTCTTGATAGCCTTAATGACATGATGTGATGTGGCTTGTTCTTCAGATGGCGCCATGTCTTGAATGCAGACATCTGCTGCCAGTGACTACACCCGCTTGCATTGGATGGGAGTCACCAATAGCTCCACAGGTGCAGCCCCAAACCAATATCTGCATAAAGGGAATTGAGAATAAATCTAACAAAAGAGCAATTTACTTCCTGGCATGCATGTTTCTAACAGGTGACTTCATTAAAACAGTTTGATCCAGCTTGGGTTTCTCTAATTACATTGTGAAAGCTTTAAGGGTTAGTAGGATTCAAACCATCTTGAATAGAAATAAGCATTAAAGGTAAACCATGTAAGCTGAGGAAGGCATCTTGAAGGGCATGGGAGGTAGCAGTGTGAAAGACAGGAAAGTACACTTGTGTTCAGTAGGGAGGTATTCTGTGATTCTATTGTCTATGGCCTTAGCGTTACTGAGCATTTGAAGTTTATTAAATAGGTCCTCATTACCCTGCTTCCCTCAGTTGATTGTGAGTTGAAAATGGCTTGTCACCAAGATCCATGGATTTGTGATGGGCAGGCACTATGGCCTATCTAAAACCTGAAGGCCACAGCACAGGCTTGAAGGATCTCTTCTATCTGCAGGGCTGAATAAGCACAGCACTTTGTAAGATCAAGTCCTCTTCTTATTAGTGCTGTTCATAGTTTGCAGATACCATGTGGAATGCATTCTTTCTCTACTTAAAAGGGCAAAGTAATTTGTCAGGCGTGTGGCACGTGAAATCTTCACCATAAACACTGTGTGACTTGTGCAAGCAAGCTGCCTGAAATACAGGCACTGAGGCTTCTTGCATCAATCACAGCAGGGTTAATCAAATCAAAGCACAACATTCTTTTTCTCTGGAAAACTGAAGTCACAGCCCTGTGTCCCTGTTATAAAAGCAGAGATGCCCTCCCTCATGGGGTATTCAGGGCCCATACTCCCACAGAACCTCCATCACAAATGTCCAGCTCAACAGAAGCGTACCTTTGAGTTCCTCCTGTGGAAGTCAGGACTGTGTGTGCCACTGTGAAAGCTGAGAAGGCTCTTAGAAAATGGGTAGTCTTGGCTCCAAAAGAGTTTTGTTTTGTTCAGGTTATTTTCAATTGCAGTAGAAAACTTGAGTGTCTGTATCAGGAAGACAATTTTGGTTGTTTTTCATTATTTTGTGAAAAGAAAATATTCTTTTACATTATTTTTCTTATCTCCATTTTCGTCTCCATCTCTATGTGCATACCGCTCCTGTGCTTGGATTTGGCTGTGACTGTGTAACGGATGGGAACCTCGCTGAGAGTTGATTCCCTCTCCTGACTGAGAGACAACCCAGTGTGGGTTTTTCACAGTGTATTTGGCAGAGTCCATGTGTGTATGTTCATGGTGACTGTTTGTCGGAAAGAGGCAGGAAACCACGAGGGTGCAGCTGTTCTATGAGCTTCCTGCTTGGGCACGCTGGGCCACCTGGCCAATGCTGTCAGTGTGACCAACACTGAGATGATGAGGAACTGCACGGGCCCACGAGTAAACAGTGGCAGAGCTGGCATAAAGCCCCTTGTGTTTCTAAGGGTACAAAAGCAGGAGCCTCTTGTAGCTGACTCAGAGGCCTCACCTATGTGTGGATGGAGCTCGTAGGAACTTTCCTGATTACCTGAGTCTCCCAGCAATGGCTGCAATGGGGCTTCCCAGCTGAAGTGTGGGCCTGGAGGATGGTTGGGTTCTGACTGCTGATGTCTTTCTTCTAAGTCTCTGGTCTCTCTACGCAGTATTGATTCGATGCACTGCTCATTGTCATCTGTACTTTACTTATATACATGTACACAATTTGTTTTATTGTACTTACTTACTGTATAGAAATATCTACCCAGTTCGTTTTACTGTGCTTGTTTGCTTTAGTGTGCTTGTTTAATCCACTGTGCATGTTGTACAGCGAGTGTGTGATCGTTTTGTTGAGTACCCTGCCTGTCAGCAGAACACTTGTGTACCCAGCAACCTCCCTGCCTCTCTTACAGACACCAGGTCCTGCTGCTTTCCCCAGGGTGGAACTGGACGTCTACGGAAAAGGACCTACCATGTACAGGATGGAACCAAAAGCAGCCTTGGAGGAGACAAATCAGGGAAGCCAGGGCCAGCAGCCTGCCGCCCAGGCAAGGTAAGGCAGCCTGCCCACCTCTCCTCCTCTGCTTCGCAACTACCAGCCTTTGAGCATCCCCACCTTCTGTTGGGGCTTCTGAGAACACACGACCACCTTAGTGGAGTGACCAGCGACAGGACAGCAGGCCTGCTCCCCTGCCTTGGCCCAAAGCTGAGCTTCCTTATATCCTTCAATCAACACCATCATTCACTCAATTACATTCTTCAGTCATCCCCATACTTCAATCAACACCATCCTTCAATCAGCCCCATCCTTCAATCAACAACATCCTTCAATCAACCCCATTCTTCAGTCAAACAAACCCTTCAGTCAAACCCATTCATCAGTGAACCCCATTCTTCAATAAACCCCATCCTTCAATCAACCCCATCCTTCAATCAACCCCATCCTTCAATCAACTACAAACTTCAATCAAACTCAAACTTCAATCAACCCAACTTTCAATCAAATTCTTAAATCGATCCAATTCTTCAATCAAACCTACGCTTCAATCAACCCCATCTTTCAATCAATCCTATCCTTCCATTAATCTCATTCTTCAATCTACCCCAACTTCTAATCAATCTAATTCTTAAATCGATCCAAATCTTCAATCAAACTCACCCTTCAGTCAACCCCACCCTTCAATCAACCCCATCCTTCAAGCAACCCTATTCTTCAATCAACCCCAATCTTCAATCAACCCCATCTTTCAGTCAACCCCGTTTTTCAATCAACCCCATCCTTCAGCCAACCCCATCCTTCAAACAACCCCTCCCTTCAATCAACCCCACTGCCGCAGAAAATATATGGACTCAGTCAGAGATCAATATGATCAGACAAAAGCCATTTATTACAAAGCCTTAACCCCTTAAATACTGTTTCTTACATGCACTTACAGTGATTTGGCATATTATGATTGGATACATGTCTTGATTTGGCATATTATGATTGGATACATGTCTCAAAGACCCTTTGTAACTAACATATAATTGGTTAAGCACAGGTGTGAGAACTTGACCTCGAAAACTTGCCAACAGTGCAGAGTTGTCATTACCTCAGTGAATTCCAGCCTCTTCTCTTGCTTGTTCAGGCTTCCTCAGGCCTCTCATGGCCTTGCTGCATCTTTCAGGATTATTCAGAATTTATGTACCAATTATCCATTCTCCTGTGAGAACACTGCCTCCACATCTGCCCCTTTTTGTTTTATATATGGTTTGGGTGACCCTACTTGAGCAGGGGATTTGCCCTAGATCATATCTCCAATATATGACAACTACAGGCTGCTGGGCCTGCCCCTTTTTTCTGCTGTATGACTCTCTGGTAACAGGGGAGGCCATCCTTCACATCAAGGTCTGGCATGGCATGTGTCCCCACTGCCAACAGCGGAGCCCAGACAGCCCAAAAACAGGACAAAAACACCCCAAAATCACCCCAGAACGACCCCAAAACCACCCTATCCTGCTTCTCCTAGGGGATACAGGGTCAGAGCCCCAAAACAGAAGAAAAACAGCCCCAAAACACCCCAAAAAACAGCCCAAAATTACCTTGTCCTGCTTCTCCTCTGGGGTACAGGGGCAGAGCCCTACATTAGCCACAAAAGAGGCAAAAAAATACCCCAAATCCACCCCCAAAACCACCTTGTCCTGCCTCTCCTATGCAGTAGAGAGTCAGAGCCCCAAAATAGCCCCAAAACAGAACAATAAGACCCCAAACCACACCAAAACCACCTTGCCCTGCTTCTCCTATGGGATACGGGGTCAGAGCCCCAAAACAGGACAAAAACAATGCAAAACACCCCAAAAACCACCCCAAAAACCACCTTGTCCTGCTTCTCCTGTGGGATACATGGTAGGAGCCCCAAAAGAGAGCCAGAACAGGACAAAAACACCCCAAAACACCCAAAAACACTCCCAAAACACCCCCAAACCACCCCAAAACCACCTTGCCCTGCTTCTCCTAAGGGACACAGGGTCAGAGCCCCAAACCAGCCTCAAAACAGGACAAAAACAGGGCAAAAACACCCCAAAACACTCACAAAGCACAACCAAACCACCCCAAAACCACCTTGTCCTGCTTCTCCTGTGGGATACAGGGTCAGAGACCCAAACCAGACACAAAACAGCCCCAAAACACCCCCAAAAAGAGGCAAAAACCACCTTGGCCTACTTCTTCTACGGGATACAGGGTAGGAGCCCCAAAACAGGCAAAAAACAACAAAAAACCAACCCAAAACAGCCATGAAAAAAAACAAAACCACCCAAAAAACAACTTCTCCAGCTTCTCCTATGGCATTTGGGGTCAGAGCCCCAAAACAAGACAAAAACAGGCTAAAACCAGGCCACAACCACCAAAACAACCCCCAAAACAGGCCAAAACCACCCCAAAAATCACCTTGTCCTCCTTCTATGGGACCCAGGTCAGAGACCAAAACCAGCCCCAAAACAGACCAAAAATAGGACAAAACCACCCCCAAACAACCCACAAAGCACAACCAAACGACCCCAAAACCACCCTGTCCTGCTTCTCCTAGGGGATACAGGGTCAGAGACAAAAAACATGAAAAAACAGACCAAAAAACAGCCCAAAAACTGGCCCAAACCATCTTGTCTGGCTTCTCTTTTGGGATACAGGGTCAGAGACCCAAAACAGAACAAAAACAGGCCAAAAACACCCCCAAACCACCTTGTCCTGCTTCTCCTGTGGGATGCAAGGTCAGAGCCCCAAACCACCCCCTAAACAGGACAAAACCACCCCAAAACACACCCAAAACACCCCAAAAACATGCCAAAACAATTTTGTCCTGCTTCTCCTATGAGATACAGGGTCAGAGCCCCGAAAAAGACCCAAAACAAGAAAAAAACAGGCCAAAACCAAGCCAAAACAACCAAAAGAACACCCAAAACAGGCCAAAACCACCCCGAAAACCACCTTGTCCTGCTTCTCCTATGGACACAGGTCAGAGATCAAAACCAGCCCCAAAACAGTGCCAAAACAGGACAAAAACACCCCAAAACCACACCAGAACGACCCGGTATTGCTTCTCCTAGGGATACAGCATCACAGCCCCAAAATAGCCCCAAAACAGGACAAAAACAGGACAAAACCACCCCCCAAGAAAACCAGCACCACCCGAAAACCACCTTGTCTTGCTTCTCCTATGGGATACAGCATCAGAGCCCAAAACCAGACCCAAAACAGGACATAAGCATGCCAAAACATCCAAAACCACGACCAAACAACGCAAAACCACCCCAAAACCACCTTGTCCTGCTTATATTGTGGGATACAGGGTCAGAGTCCTAAAACAGGACAAAAAACAAAACACCCAAAACCAGCCACAAAAAATGCCCCAAACACCCCAAAACGCCCTTGTCCTGCTTCTCCTATAAGATACAGGGTCATAACCCCAAAACAGCCCGGAAACACCCCAAAACCAGGTAAAAATTACCCCAAAACAACCTTGTTCTACTTCTTCTCTTTGATACAGGGTCAGAGACCCAAAACAGCCCCAAAACACTCCAAAAACACCCCAAAGCCACCTTGTCCTGCTTCTCCTATGGGATACAGGGTCAGAGCCCCAAAACAGCCTCAAAACAGGATAAAAACCCAAAACCACCACCAAAAACAGACCAAAACCACCTTGTCCTGCTTCTGCTATGCGATACAGGGTCAGAGCCCCAAAACAAAACAAAAACAGGAGAAAAGCAGGCCAAACAACCCCCAAAATGGGCCAAAACCACCCCAAAATCACCTTCCCCTGCTATTCCTACGGGACACATGTCAGAGCCCGAAAACTGGACAAAATCAACCCAAAACCACCCTGTCCTCCTTCTCCTATGGGATACAGGGTCAGAGCCCCAAAACAGACCCAAAACAGGACAAAACCAACCCAAAACATCCAAAATAGCCACAAAACAAGCCAAAACCACGCCAAAAAACCCTTGTCCTGCTTCTCCTATGGGATACAGGGTCAGAACCCAAAACAGGACAAAACCAACCCAAAACACCCGAAAACCACCTTGTCCTGTTACTCCTATGGGATACAGGGTCAGAGCCTCAAAACAGGGCAAAACCAAGCCAAAAGCAGGCCAAAACACCCAAAACAACCCCCAAAACAGGCCAAAACCACCCCAAAATCACCTTGTCCTGCTTCTCCTATGGGACACAGGTCAGAGCCCCAAAACTGGACAAAACCACCCCAAAACCACCTTGTCCTGTTTCTCCTGTGGGACACAAGTTCAGAACCCCAAAACAGGCTCAAAAGAGGATAAAAACAACCAAAAACTATTCAAAACCACCCCCAAAACAACCCGAAACCACTCTAAACCCACAAAAAAACCACCTTGTCCTGCTTCTCCTATGGGATACAGGGTCAGAGCACCACAACAGACACAAAACAGGCCAAAAAGAGGAAAAAAACACACCAAAACACCCAAAACAGCCCCAAACCAAGCCAAAACCGACCCAAAACATCCAAAACAGCCCCAAAACAACCCAAAACCACCCCAAAAAACCCTTGTCGTGCTTCTCCTATGGGATACAGGCTCAGAGCCCCAAAACAGACACAAAACAGGCCAAAAAGAGGAAAAAAACACACCAAAACACCCCTAAACCAGCCCAAGCCAACCCCAAAACCACCTTGTCCTGCTTCTCCTATGGGATACAGGGTCAGAGCCTCAAAACAGACCCAAAACAGGAGAAAAACAGCAAAATCAGCCACAAAACACCCCAAAACCAACATGGGAGGCTTCTCCTCTGGGATACAGGGTCAGACCCCAAAACAGCCCCAAACCAGGCCAAAACCAACCCAAAACATCCAAAACAGACCCCAAAACAACCCAAAACCACCCCAAAACCACATTGTCCTGCTTCTCCTATGGGACACAAGTTCAGAACCCCAAAACAGGCTCAAAAGAGGATTAAAACAACCAAAAACTATTCAAAACCACCCCCAAAACAACCCCAAACCACTCTAAACCCACAAAAAAACCACCTTGTCCTGCTTCTCCTGTGGGATACAGGCTCAGAGCCCCAAAACAGACACAAAACAGGCCAAAAAGAGGAAAAAAACACACCAAAACACACCAAAACACCCCTAAACCAGCCCAAGCCAACCCCAAAACCACCTTGTCCTGCTTCTCCTATGGGATACAGGGTCAGAGCCTCAAAACAGGACAAAAACAGCAAAATCAGCCACAAAACACCCCCAAACCAACTTGGGAGGCTTCTCCTCTGGGATACAGGGTCAGACCCCAAAACAGCCCCAAACCAAGCCAAAACCAACCCAAAACATCAAAAACAGCCCCAAAACAACCCAAAACCATCCCAAAAAAACCTTGTCCTGCTTCTCCTATGGGATACAGGCTCAGAGCCCCAAAACAGACACAAAACAGGCTAAAAAGAGGAAAAAAACACACCAAAACACCCCAAAACACCACTAAACCAGCCCAAGCCAACCCCAAAACCACCTTGTCCTGCTTCTCCTATGGGATACAGGCTCAGAGCCTCAAAACAGACCCAAAACAGGAGAAAAACAGCAAAATCAGCCACAAAACACCCCCAAACCAACTTGGGAGGCTTCTCCTCTGGGATACAGGGTCAGACCCCAAAACAGCCCCAAACCAAGCCAAAACCAACCCAAAACCAACCCAAAACATCAAAAACAGCCCCAAAACAACCCACAACCACCCCAAAAAACCCTTGTCCTGCTTCTCCTATGGGATACAGGGTCAGAGCCCCAAAACAGGGCAAAACCAAGACCAAAGCAGGCCAAAACACCCAAAACAACCCCCAAAACAGGCCAAAACCACCCCAAAATCACCTTGTCCTGCTTCTCCTATGGGACACAGGTCAGAGTCCCAAAACAGGAAAAAACCAACCCAAAACCACCTGGAACTGCTTCTCCTGTGGGATACAGGCTCAGAGCCCCAAAACAGACCCAAAACACCCCAAAAACCACGCCAAGGCAACCTTGTCCTGCTTCTCCTCTGGGACACGGAGTCAGAGCCCCAAAGCAGCCCTAAAACAGGACAAAAACAACCCAAAACACCCAAAAACCACCTTGTCCTGCTTCTCCTATGGGATACAGGGTAAGAGGCCCAAAATAGCCCCAAAACAGACCAAAACCAGGCAAAAAACAGACCAAAACACCAAAAGCAAACCCCAAACCATGCCAAACCACCCTGAAACCACCTGGTGCTCCTTCTCCTAAGGTACACAGGGTCAGAGCCCCAAAACAGACCCAAAATAGCCCCAAAACAGGCCAAAAAGAGGCAAAAACAAGGCCAAAACACCCAAAGCAAACCCCCAAACAACCCCGAACCACCTTGTCCTCCTTCTCCAATGGGATACAGGGTCAGAGCCCCAAAACAGACACAAAACAGGCCAAAACCAACCCAAAACACCCATAAACCCAGCCCAAAACCACCTTGTCCTGCTTCTCCTATGGGATACAGGGTCAGAGCTTCCAAACAGCCCCAAGACAGGATAAAAACGGTTATAAACCCCCAAAAGAGCCCCAAAACACCCCAAAACCACCTTGTCCTGCTTCTTCTAGGAGATACAGGGTCAGAGCCCCAAAACAGGACAAAAACAGGCCAAAACCACCCCAAAACCACCTTGTCCTGCTTCTCCTATGGGAAACAGGTCAGAGCCCCAAAACTGGACAAAACCACCCCAAAACCACCTTGTCCTGTTTCTCCTGTGGGACACAAGTTCAGAACCCCAAAACAGGCTCAAAAAAGGATAAAAACAACCAAAAACTATTCAACCCCCCCCCCCCCCCCAAACCACCCCAAAATCACCTTGTCCTTTCTCCTGGGGGATACAGGGACAGATCCCCAAAACAGCCCCAAAACAGCCCAAAACTACCTTGTCCATATTCTTCTATGGGATACACTGTCGGAGCCCCAGAACAGCTTCAAAACAGGACAAAAACACTCCAAAACCCCTAAAACAACCCCAGAACAGGACAAAACCAACCCAAAACACACAAAACCACTCCCAAACCACCCCCCCAAACCACACCAAAACCACCTTGTCTTGCTTCTCCTGTAGGACACAGGCTCAGAGCCTCAAAACAGCCCCAAAACAGGACAAAACCAACCCCAAAGCATACAAAACCAAGACCAAACCACCCTAAAACAACCCCAAAATCACCTTGTCCTGCTTCTCCTATGGGACACCGGGTCAGAGCCCCAAAATAGGCATAAAACAGGTGAAAACCACCCTAAAACACCCAAAACCACTCCCAAACCAGTCCAAAGCACCTTGTCCTGCTTCTCCTATGGGTGCCACCCAGTGAGAACCCAAAACAGCCCCAAATCACCCCAACCCCCCCAAAATGGAACCTTCTGGAGGTCGCTGTGGAGCTGCTTTAGCCTGGCCTCGAGCTGCGACACCTTCTGGGGTAGGTCCAAGGCTGGGGGGGGGTTTGGGGAAGGCAAAGGGGAACGGGGGGGGGGCCACTGGGGTGTCCCCATATTGGAGGGGGGTCCCAGCCCCACATACAAGGGGGACATGGGGGGGGTCTCCATATAGGGGGGTCCCTGGACCTGATGGGGGGGGCGCCCCCCCGTGGCCTCTCCAGGGGTAGGGGGGGGTCGGGGCTCAGCACCGGCTCCATGAGGGAGAACAGGGACACGGCCCTTTGCACTGGGGGGGTGGCACATCAGCACCCCAAAACCAGACCAAACCAGCCTAAAATACCCCCAAACCAGCCCTAAACAGCCAAAATACCCCAAATCCAGCCCAAAACAGCCAAAATACACCCAAACCAGCCCAAAATACACCCAAACCAGCCCAAAATATCCCCAAAACCAGCCCAAAACACCCCCAAACCAGCCCAAAATATCCGCAAAACGGCCCAAAATATCCGCAAAACGTCCCAAAACACCCCAAAACACCCACAAAGCAGTCTCAAACACCCCAAACCACTCCAAAACCACCCTGAAACAGCTCAAAACACACCAAAACCAGCCCAAATCCCCTCCACAACAGTTTAACACCCCCAAAGCACCCTGAAACAACCCCAAGCACCCTCAAAACACAAGAAAACACCCCTAAACACCCCTAAAAGAACCCAAAACACCCTAAGCACCCTGAAAACCAGGCCAAAACGGCCCCGGAAATCATAGAGGAACCACACAGGCGTCACAGAGCAGTCATAGAGGTGTCAGAGTGTCATAGAGGAGTCATAGGGGAGTCAGAGAGGGGTCATAGAGGAGTCAAATAGGGGTCAATGAATGGTCATAGATGGGCCAGAGAGGAGTCAGAGATGCCAGGGATGGGGCAGCCACAGCTTCTCTGGGCAAGAGTCTGCGACTCCCTCCCTAGCCTGGATATGAGGAAGATTTTCCTACTGTGATATGAAACAAAAAAAAAATAATTGAAATGAAATTAAATCTTTTTCCACTTGGAACCATTGTGAGTCCTTAAAAATTATTATCGATCTGAAAAAACCTCTGACATTTCAGGCAAATAACAGGCTCATCATTATTTGAATAATGGTCAGTGCACAGATTAAAAGGGAACAGCACAGCACCTCAGATTGCCTCACAGCTTAGCACAGCACAGCACGGCATGGCACAGAACAGCACAGCACAGCAGAGCACAGCACAGCTCTGGAGATCCTCCTGCTCTGATATCCCAGTATCTGGAGGTGAACTCACCCCCAGCCCGCAGTGCGGATCATCGGGCCCACGTTCTGGGGAGATGCTGGCTCAGGCAGTCGGCTGTGTCCCCTCTGCCTTGACAAACTGCCACCACAATCCACAAGTGGCCCGTGCCCACTGCGCCCAGAGCCTGGGATGCAAAGCAGAGAATTACAAGGGTGTCCCGGTCACACGGGGAACCCCAAATGTGGTTTTACACAGGGTTCTCACGCCCTTCAAACGCTCACGTACCACACATTTGGACAAAGACCAGCGCCCTCACTACCAATGACCAGTCCTGGTCAAACTCTGCCAGGCGCTCACGCTACTTCTGCTGCAGTCCTGCTCTTGGCTATTGATGCAGATGCCCCTGGAGCCAGTCCTGCAAGAGACACTGATGAATGGTGTGCAGGACAGCGGGAGGGTTTCAAAGACATGCTGGAGGGGCTGGGATTCTGACATTATTTCTGCTGGGCTGCAATACCTCTTCTCCTTCACAGACAGCTCTAAGATACCCTAAAGAGAAGTCCTAGTTCCAGGGCTGGGCTGAGGCTTCCAGGAAAAATCCCCTACCTCATCATATTACAGTGTACATAGAAATATATATAGACGCATATATAAATAAAAGACCTATGGATACTCTAAAGACTGGTTGATCTAGGAGTTAGAAGGAAGAGAATTTTCATAACGTGCCTTGTGGGTCCCACTAAACAGGGTCCCAAATGCCAGTGACAGGGGGAGGAGAGGCAGCAAAGATGCCATCCCAGGGGGATCGCTCTCCTGAGAAGGGGGTGGAAAAAGCAACCCAAAAGTGAAACAGCCCGAAGCAAGCACTGATGTTCCCTGCCTCAGCTGGCAGACACACTGCCTTCCTGCAGTGTCATTTCTCTGATGAGAGACAGAGTTAAGGCAAAAAATCAACTTTTCTCAGCATCACAGAATCATTTCATTTGAAAAGAGGCTTGAGAACATCGAGTCCAACCATTAACCTGTCCCTAACAACCTGACAACATCAACATCTCTGTGGGATACCCTGTCTGGATGGTCACCAACAGCAACTTTAAGTCCAATTTCACAACTTACTGTAATTTCACTCATTTCCATTCTATTCTGTTTGTTGTTAAACATTCGGCTCTATGGTAGAGCATGGAAATCAGCTGGACAAGTTACGGGATTGCAGAAACCTCTTGGCATAAATCATGGGACTTAAACACCTGGAACAAACTCTTAACCACTGAGTAAACCAACCCAACTTTTCCCTCAGTTTATAACTGGAATTCAGCACTACTCTGTTTGGAGGCACAGAGGCGAGGGGTGACCACACTGCTCTGTGAGAAGGAGGGATTGAGGGGGACCCTTGCTGCTGTTTCTCCCAGAACACAGGTGAAGAGGGAATGAAATATTATCTTTAATAACACAAATACATTTCAGTTACCATGGAAAATACAGAACAAGATGCTAGAGCCCTACAGGAAGAGCACCAATGAACTAAACATTCCCTCCTGTGCTCTTTCCTTTCCCACCCATAGATAGTTTCTTCAGTAACTTTCAAGTGCACGACACAGAAGAGATCTGTGTGTCTGCTGCACGTGAAGGGGAAAAGTTCCTTTTGGTGTTAGAGCTGTAAAGTCAGATTTATCTCCAAAGCAACTCAATCATGGGCCAAGGAAAGAGTCAGGGCATTTTCAGCTCTGTCTTGAACACTGCCAGCCATGGGGCAGGCACAGCTTCTCTGGGCACCCTGTGCCACTGTCCCACCACCCTCACAGGGAACAACTTCTAAGATCTCATCTCAATCTCCCCTCTCTGTCACGTTAAAATCGTTCCCCCTTGGCCCATCCCCACAGGCCCTTGCTCTCCCCACAAGAAATGAGGGCAGATCCCAGGATCATCCCTCGGCAGCCGCAGCGCTCCGCTGCCGGCTCAGCCAGCCCAACTCACACACCGAGTCCAAAGCAGCCACTCTGGGGAAGTCTCTTGAGGTGTTCTGGCAACTCCTACAGCACCCCAAGATCGCCATCGCCACCCACCTCCTTCCACGCTCCTCTGTCCACAGGCGGCACCGGCTCCGAGACACCAAGACGGGAACCACCAGAGGAGCTGCTCTTGCCTCCTCCACCGGTAGCTTGTGTTCCGTGGGGCAGCTGTCGTCTCCAGTGCCTCTGCTGGAGGGTTCCGTGGGGTTCTGTGACCTCACACACCTGAACACGGGGAGTTCCAGAATCAGCCACCCCTGTGGTCTCCATGTCCCCAAGGTCATTGTGATGCATGAGCTCTGACTGGGTCCATGGGGTGCTCTGGAGGTGCTGCAGGCATTCTCTGGGATTCTCTAGGGGTATCCCCAGGATGCCCTGGGAGTGCACAGAGACACAGGGCCGTGGAGCAAGCTGCTCTAGTGGAAGGTGTCCCTGCCCGTGCCTTTGGGGGTTGGAGCTGGCTGAGCTTTAAGGTCCCTTCCAGCCCACGCTGGGATTCCATGATTCTCTGCTGTGCCAATGTCGGTCCCTCTCCACTCCTCGGAGGTGGCCGTGACGCCCTGTTCCATGGCCCACGTTGAGCTGTGACCCCTCGCATGCTCCACCTCCGGACCAAAGGCACTGAGGAAGAGCAGCCCGTGAGGGACCTCCCCGAGCCGGCTGGGCAGAGGCTGGTCCCTCCGCAGCCACTCCCGGAGCACCCCTGGCTGCCCAGTGGCCATGGGCACGATGCTGCCGCCATCCCAAAGCCGTGGCGGTCGCTGTGGATTTGCCCATTGTGACGGGGCCCCCACGGTGAGCGTGGGCTCTTTAAGGAGGGAGAGCCCTGCAGTAACCGGTGCAGAGGAGAGCCCTCCCCTCCCTCGGGGCTTCATGTAACCAAAAACGGGGGTGGGGTGGGCAGGGAAGGTGCGGGGGTGTCATTAAGTGCCTGTTGATGAACTGTCTGTGGGGAAGGGGGAGGATGGACCTCACCTCCCCCCCAGTACCCCAAAACGGGGGGCGTGGATGTGGGGGAGGGTGCCAATGGACACAACCTCCCATCCCCCACCCGGGGGTGTTGGGGGGTGGCACCTCCCCCCCTCTTTATACCCGGGATGGGAGGGGAGGATAAAGGGGGGGATGGGGGGGGGGGTCTATCCGAAGCCTTATTGACACCGATGTAAAAGGGGGGGGGGGGGGAGAGGTCACCTTAAGAATGTATGAAAAGGAAACTTAACCAATAAATAAAGATTTCACAGGAAATCGAGGCCCCCTCTCCCCCCCCGTGTTTCGGCCTTTCCCCATCCCCCTTCCGCGATGCTCTCCGCACTTCCGGGTTGGATGCCGCCGTTGCCTAGCAACGGGGTCTCCACGTACCACTTCCCATGCATTACACACACACACACACACACACACACACACACACACACACACACACACACACCCGGCCTCGTTCTGGCGAGCGTTGCCCAGGCAACAGCCAATCAGCTCTGAGCTCCCCAACTCGTGTCCCCGTTTATCCCCCTCCCGGCTGCCCCCCATGGGGCTGAATATGGGGCCTTTCCTCGCCCCTCCCCCCCCCCCCGTTTTTTTCCCCTCTTCCCCTCCCCCACCGCATACCCATCTTCCCCCCTGCCCCCCTTATGCCCCCCATTCCCCCTCCCCCTTTTTCCCACCCCCATTCCCCACATTCCTGCCATTTCTCCCCCTCCATCCCTCCCCATTTCTCATCCCACCATCGTTACCCCCCCTTATTTACATGCAATTAGCGCAGGACCTGCTTTATCCACACGCACTTCATGTAGGGCTGACCTTATTTACA